AAATGCACTTGTCACTGCTCTGATTCCTGTTAGTTGGGTCAGAGCCGTGAGTTAAACAGCTTACCGGATCAACTCCTGTCCTAACTAATGTCATGTTTTCCCTCCCTCAGTCTGATGTTTTCCTGTCTTTGTAGCTGGATGTGAACTATATTAAAAATCTGCTGAGTGTTTTGTTCTACTTAGGTGGCTTTCCTTCTCCTCTCGATCTGATCTTCTTGCTCTGAAGCTCTGGGAGAGGTGTGATCTGGTAACACACACCGAGAATATGGGACCTCCCAGCTGTTACTCTGAATATACTTCAGATTTTGAGGTGATACTGTTAGCACTGCTGTCTTAAAAAGAGAATTCAGTACTGAGTGTGGACCAGGCTGCATGGAGGGTCACAACAGGCCTCCTTCCTGCTCCTCCGTGGAGCTTTGCTGCTGGCATCAAGAACACAGCGCTGCATTCCAGCCTTCTCGTACAGGACACGCTCTCCGGAGCCACAGTCCCCTCTCCTCATGCAGTCTTTACAGAACATACTCCTCTAACTTGAAATTCTTCTTGCAAGAGTGGGGAAGTGTCATCCCCCATCTGCTCATACCAGAGTAATCATTTTATTGCTTCATTAGGATGAAGGATGGATGAGCAGGATCCGAGGAATCCTAGCAGGGCAGTGATGTGTGACGTTTTACAGTAAGACAGGCGAGATTGTCCCATTGGTGTTGGTCTTTTTGGAAAATGTCAGATAGTGGGTCTGTTCTTGTTGGCAGTAATATCCTCTGACGCAGTGTTGTGGTAAGACTGATGTTTATATCAAGAGTCTCTGCAAAGACACCTAAAAGTAAGCCTTGTTGTAGTCGTTCGCTTTATTCTGGTCAGTGCTTGGCAGTGAATTAGCAATCTCTTTTTTTGGACCTCTCTTGTGATTGCCTTACTGTGTGTGCATCTCCCTGAACCTTTGGTCGTCTCCGATGAATCAACTCATCCATTTCAATAGCAAGGAATGCAGTCGTATTCGATGGGGAAGGTGCAGTGGTCAAAGGCATGCACTGCAAATTGAAGATCCTTGGAACTGTGATAAAACTGCTCTGAGAGGCAGGAGGACTGCTCTGGGCAGAGGGAGTGAAGGAAAGGATAATTTCTTTACTGGTAAAGAACTTGGGGATGACCCGAGTGTAAGTGCAATTGTACCTTACTGAATGGGAGGTTTTATTTTGCTGGAGTATTGTATGGCAAGTCAGCTTCTGTTTGTTTTGGTTTTTGTAATTACCTCAATGGATTAGACGAATTGTTTTTGATTTCCCCCAAGTCATTGTGTTTTCACTGTCAGTGGTTCCTTATTTATGTCTGATAAACTTCCACAGGAGCAGCGGCTCATAACTGTGACGTAACCAGCAGTCTGGTACCCCAACATACCAGTCTGTATCCCATGGAGTAGCTGTTAGGAAGAAAAGACCTTGGGTTATCTTTCTTGCTAATTATTACCAAGATCTGTAGCAAGAGCTCCGGTCATCACCGCTAAGATTAGCTGACCAACGAGGGCTGTTCACTTTTTGATTCCCCTCTTGGGGCTAAGGAGCCAGTGCTGTGGAAGATACACTTGCTTTCAACCTTGTTTTTTCTGTCCTTGATTATCTTTAAGTGCCACCATATTACATTCACATTTCCACTTTTCTTCTTTAACATCCGAGGCTAGGAAATTAATCTTATAGAGGGGATGTTCTACTTTAATGTAGGACATGAAGTAAAGTAGGGCTGATTAATTATTTTAATACCCTGTAGTTCTTCTTTGGCATGAACAGACTCTAAAGAAAGATGAAACATTTAGCTGTTGATAAGAAACTGGTGCAGTTCACCCGGGATAGGGATTTATTTCGGAGTTTGGGACCTGATGTACCCGCCCAGTTTTTTTCACCGGTGTCTGTTCCTGATCAAAAGACAAGTCACTGCTTAGCATGATGCTATTTCTGGTGGGGTTGTTGGTTTTTTTTTCTCTTTGTCCCTGGATTAGCCACAATTTTTCCTTGTTCCTTTTTGATCGAAAACCTTTAATGAACTGTGATGATTTGAGGAAGTGCTCTCTCCCAATTTGCTGTATGCCAGACGTTTAAGTAGAAGGGGCCTTTGTGTTTTAGTTAGTCCTCCGTCACACTGACTGAACATGAAAGGCATACTTGCTGGATAGTGAGTAGCTCTCATGCCTCAGGATGTACGTGCTTTTTGAGTTTCTTTATTGCTTTCCTTTTACTTTGTGCTCTTGCTCTCTCCTGTTACCTCTGCTATGTCTTTCTCATCTTCCTGTTAGCTTGCATATTGCCCAGCATATCCAGGCTGATGAAATTAATTTCCAGTCCCATAGTGTTCCTCTTACCAACACACTATGTCTCTGGAAGATCAGAGAAATGTTTTTCATTCCATGTCTGTCAGTTTATTGAGAAACTGTTGTTCTTCTGTCTTAATGTTTTCTTATATTACTTTAGTAAAGATCTTTGGAGGGTATGAACTTACAAAAGTGAGAGTCATTTCTCAAACAAAAAAGGTTTGCGCCAAAGGCAGTTTATAGCCTAGATTTACAGGCTTGATTTTAGGTCAGGTTTCATAGTTTGTGACTGTTCATGGCAGTGAGGAGGAATGTGCTGAGCAAAATCTTGAGGGCACACCTCAGTGCTTACTCTTTCTGGATGGTAGACATCTGTTCCACATCTTAGACTTGATCCCACAGCCATTGCTCATCTTCAGCATCAACTTTCTTTAACACAACATTGAAAAACACTTGAAAATTTATCAAAGAAGAGAACATACTATATGGTATGATGAGCCCAATCTTTGAAAATTTGCTTGTTAGGAGCAAAGGAGGATTTATCTGGCAGTTGATGCTGAGTTGGTGAGAATTTGAGGACCTCCTACCTATGTGGTCGTTAGGAGATAGGAGATGTTTAAAATTGCACTTCGCATCAGTCCTTGTGCTTTGTTATCTAACCCTCTTGTTGGTGCTGTGTTCTCCCCAACAGAATCTCTGGGATTTTCCTTCAGTAGCAGTTTATTATTTTAAACTGTGTTGGTGTTCTCATGTTTACTATCTTCTGGTTTTGGGTTTTTTTTTTCCTTCATATCTACAGTGAAATCCACGTGTCGTGTCATGGACTTAAAGATCTAGTGGTCTAAAATTTGAATTAAATCAGCACCCCATTATATTATTTGTAAATGTAAAGCTTTTTCCTGAGAAGTCCTCTGCTTTTCTGCTCTGCCTGTACAAATGGAAACAAATACTTTTTTAGTTACGAGACGATTTAAAACTTCTTGGTTAGCCAAGCATGTTATTTAGTTCAACTACTTAAAACATAATTGACTCCTGTTTCAAGAATATGCGTGTGAAGTTTAGGCCTTCAGCTACTTACTGAGAGCCAAGTTATAGACCAGGCATGTACAGTGTTGATATTGGAAACACCACTAAAGCTCACTGTAGAAATCTGGCCAGGCACCATTATAATTGTGAAATATTTTTGTTGCCAGAATAACACAATTCAGTATTACATCTAGAAAGACAAAAATACTTGGGTTTAGGATGCTGTAGGGTTTATAGTATATTGTTCCAGGTGATGACTGAGTATTTCTTCTCTTGGACTATGAGATACTGGATACAAAAAGCTGATTTTATTAGAAATAATACAATGAATCTTAATAATTCAATAAATAGGGTAAATGTGCCTGTTAATGACTCCCTTTCTTGTTTGCATCTAAAACAATGCAAGTAATAAAGCACAGAGAGGAAGGCATTCTTTCCGTTTGAGAGATGCAGATTTCCAATTGATAGTATGTGGTAAAAACTCATGTTGCCAGTTTTTCTACCTAAGACAAGATAGGACAGGCCAAGAACTGAAGTATTTCAAGACCACATTTCTCATAGTAGTAAATAAGACATTTTTTAAAGTATATTCAGCCTGTATTTACTAGTGGTTTCTCTTAAACTCCCTTTTTTGGGTTTGCTTTTTCTGCTAATTTTAAAGTATGAGCTGATTGTTTTCTAGTTAGGATTTTAATTTTTCCTGTTGGTAAGATTAACTAGCTTTCCTAGTCTGCTTTTAAGAACTTTGAAGGTTTGAGGAGCTGTATAGTAGCTAAGCAGTATTGGTTACATTTCTGTTCCAAGATGTTTAGTTAGAGCCGCTGGCATGGCCCACGTGTTTATGTAACTGCTGGTCCTCTGAACAGGCTCTCTCCTCTCTTGCCTCTCCTCCTCTGCCTTTCTGCAGTACATCTCATCCTTGTTTTGACCAGGGACACATCCCCCAGGAGGTGCCTGGCAGGGACTTTGCCCAGGTACAGACACAACGCGGTGCCCAAGAGTTGGTGCTGAGTTTTACATCTGGTTCAGGAGCCAACGATGAGACAATCGTAGGGGTGCAATAATTAAGGGTCAGGATAGGCACCGCTATAAAGAGTGTTTGTCTTGGATACGTCGCAGGATCCATGACTGCTGTATGCCTGACAGATAGCTTTACAACCACTTACAATTTTTGTTGTCAAAATATTACAATCTAGCCTGATGTTCAGTGCGTGACACTCATGGCAGCTAGACCTTCCCAGTGATGGTGGTGGTTGCCATTTTGTTTAGATTTAGTATGATTCCATTAAATTATGATTATTGTGGTAACTGTCAGTCAGTGGGATTTTTTTAGGCTAGTAGATTCATTCATTTATAAAAGAGGAAAAAATCTTCTAGGAGAAGCAGTTTTGTAAACGTTATGTGGAAAAAATACTAACAGTGTCCAGGCTTGGTCACCAGATGTTTGGATGTGGGTATTGTGTGTGTGGGCAAAGTGGTGGCACTGGAGATGGCAGCCACTGCTCGCGGGTGGTACCACCACTGGGTTTATTACTACGGCTTCGCTACACCTCAGGCAATAAGAATCGTCGAGCGCTGGCGTTGCCTTTCTCACATGGCTGCCCAGCAGAAAGCAATGCCGTGGCACGGCTGACCCGGGCAGGGGGAAAGGTTTTCCTGCCGCAGAGCGTGGATGGGGGCTGACAGCTTCTGTGTGAAGGGGTGGAGGTAGGTCCTGATGTGGGGAGGGGGCTGGTGTAGCCAAGCCGAGGGTGCAGAGGCCGGGCTCCCCCCGGAACAAGCTGGCGAGCTGCTGCCAGGAACGGGGAACGAACCACCGCTGTTTGTTTCTGCCGTGCTCAGGGAAACAGCCCTCTGCTTACATTCCGTGGAAGTTAATAGGGTCGCACCAGAGAATATACCTGACTTGGATGACCCGTTTCTCCTTGCAGAGTAAACGCTCCTTCCCGGCCCAAATACCGGGTAAGTGCTTACCCCAAAGGGGCCAGCTCTGAGTGCTGTTCGGTTAGGAACAGGGAGTTCTTGTTGCTTTTCCTGCCAGCTCTGCTCTGAGGTCTCAGGAGTAGAAACTGTTAACATTAAAATGGTAGGAGCATTCATTCTTTTCTAACAGACCTACATGTTGAAGGTCATTGAAGGTAAAGTTTAGAGAAGTGCCCGAGTTCAAAAGCCATCTTAGTAGTTCTGAAAATATTATAAAGAATCTTAGTCTAACACGCACAGGTATTTTGCAGATACTCACCTATATGTTTAATTTGAAGGAGTATACATTTGCTTAAGAATCAGCGTGGTGTGTTTTATTGTTTTAAATTTTCACAAATGGTCTTTATGTGAAAAATGCTTTCACTGAAAGACTACACAAACCCAGTTCCACAGGTGAAGGTCTCAGCCCTGCCAAGGGGGCCATGAGGGCACAAGAACAAGCAACTTTCTAGAAGAACCCCTTGCACAATCTCGGCAGCGTCTGCAACAACCTGTGGAAATCGGTGTTAAAATCCTGACTAAAATTACTTTGCTTAAACTGGGTTTTAATTTTAAATCTTCCTTATGTTCTCATCATTTTTTTACATGAGACCTCATAATTATCCCATGAAGATACATGCACTGCAAACTATTTCCCCCCTCAATTAAGGTTTCAGACAGTTACTGGGAAATCATGTGGAATCACCTAATTCACAGATGACTTTCAAAAGAGTGTTCAGAGGTGTTTGAAATAATATTTCCTGCTACAATCATTCTATAAAACTTTCAGTGTTACTCTTGTAAAAAATACAGGGAAAAAAAAAAAGGTAAATATGTCCCCTTCTTTCTAAGTGAGATAGAAATAATTTCTTCAGAGTCTTCAGTGCCACAGTACAGGGACTGTGCACAAAGTGTCTTCTCAGTCCCTCGTGACTGAGAATGAGCTACCATCTAATTCTTGTTAGAGAGGTGTCCACGCTCAGATCCCCTACCCGACCTGAATCTTTGAATTGTGCCTGGCGTATTTTGCTTTTCGGAAACCACATCCTGATCACATCTGATTAGAGGATGCCTGGTAGCTTGAGAAACACTGCCATATTTTATTAATGTAGTATTTGACAGCTGTTAGCTAGTGAAACTAGAGATTGGTGCTCGCTTGACAAAAAGGTATGCACCTGATACCAGTCATGGAGAACCCAATTAACCTTTAGGCTATATATATTGAATTAGCAAACTGGCAAGTAGGCTGGGCGACTGGAAACTGTTCGCAGCTAAACTTCCAGACAAAGTTGGTTGATTATTTTGCTTACTCACGTGGTCTCTTGCTCCTGTGTGTGGGATTTATCCAACTAAAAGGATGTGTGCATCCAGGTTACTACTCCTGGTTTCTCCTTGGGGATGATTAATGTTCACCTCTGCATTCTTGCCACTGAACTGATAATTCTTCATGGTTTGTGTGGGGCATCTGCATACACCTTGCTCTCGGGGTAGGTACAGCAAACTGGTACACACCTCTTGCACTTGCTCCTTCCCCACTCCTCCCACACCTCTGTTCTCTCCCCATTAATTAATGGGAAGAAATAATGCTCTTGGGATTGATTCTTCGTTGAGCATCTGTGCAGTAATTGATAGAGGATACTTCCCAGGGGTTATTCTGGGCACAGTTATCTGCTGATTGGAAGAATATTCATTATTAAAAGAGTGAAAATCTGTTAAAGTGGACTTGAGCAGTTACAGGAAACTAAAGCAACTGTTGCATTTTATGACAGCATTGCCTGCCCTCAGTAAACTGCATGATGTGATGGTGCCGGTATTTCTTGTCTGTGTGGTATTTTAATTATGCTAGCTGCACTTTGGAGAAATTGTGGGAGTTTTGCTATTTAATGAAACTGTAATGTTATTCATCTTTATCAAAAGACAGTCAACAGGACACCCTGTTGTGCTTATGTGACTTTATATAACAAAAAGTAAATTAATCAAATTCACTAAGCCTGTTTTTTATATGAGATAAAAATACTGCAGTAGTATAACCAGTGCTTTTAAAAACAAATATTTGATAGTGTTTCTATGGTGAAAATTTCTGTTTATTGGGAAAGTTTTTGGGTTTGGTTTTGGGTTATTGTTTGTTTGGCTTCTTTTAAAAATGAAAATGAATTTATACACATATTTGGTCTGGTGAATTATTTATCTGATGTTAGTCATATTTTCTCTTTCAGGAAATCCATGACTTATTTAAAGATTATGAAATCAAGTATTGTTATGTGGACAGAAATAAAAGAACAGGTAAGAACTTAAAATCTGCCAGTGTCACAGGTTTCAATTCTGTCATGAGGCACATCATCAGTGTATGAAGTCATCAGCTTCTCTGTATGAAGTCAGCTTCTCTGCAATCGCGTAGCTTGATTGTCCCTCAGTGCCTTTTTTGGCTGCACAGATTGTCATCATGAAAGAAATTCAGTAGAATCAGTAATGTGTGGACTTCAGTAGAAAATTTAAACCTCAAGTAGTGAGGTTGTGTGTATCTGTGGATCTACAGTCACTCTTTGAGTTAATTACTCGTGACATCCAGTTGATAGGGTCAAATTTTAAAATATATGTTACAGCTTATCTCTGTCTATTGCACCTTCTTTTTATTTTTCCTGTGACTTACGCTGGTGGGTTTTGAGGAGAGGGAGAGATACAGTGATTACCTCTGTAGCTCTGCTAGGTGATGTCACTTGTTTTGGTCTCTTACAGCATTTGTCACTCTGTTTAACGGAGAGCAGGCTCAAAACGCCATTCGGAAATTTCACCAGTATTCTCTTCGGGGGAAAGAAATATCTGTGCAACTCCAACCAACAGATGCTTTGCTGTGTATTACTAATTTGCCCATTTCATTTACGTTAGAAGAGTTTGAAGAACTTGTGCGTGCGTATGGCAGTGTCGAGAGATGTTTTTTGGTCTACAACGAAGTTACTGGCCATTCCAAGGGCTATGGCTTTGTGGAATATATGAAGAAGGACTCTGCTGCAAAGGCAAGACTGGAACTTCTGGGGAAACAGTTAGATGAGAGCACTCTCTTTGCACAGTGGATGGATGTGAACCAGCTGACAACAAACCTTATTCATTCCAAGTGCCTTTGTGTAGATAAACTTCAAAAAGACTACACTGATTCAAAAGAACTGATCCAAGCTTTCTCACTGAAGTATAAACCTATTTTCTGCCAGGTATGTTGAATTTGTATCTTTTGGAAGATCATGGTCATGACTTACGTAGCTCTGTGTTTGCATCTTCACTGCTTGCTGTTTTATCCTTTTATTTTTCAATGAAGTAGTGGGTGGTTATGCATCTGCATTGTGATATATGATGTGGTGCAGATGCTGTACTGGTATGGGTTTGCAGCAATTGGTCGATGTCATCTGGGAATTCTGCAGGAGACCGCTCCCGCAAAGTGCCAGTAAAATGTTTATAAGACATCCCCTCCTTACGTATTTTATTGAAAATAATTTTAGAAATATTTTAGAGAGCTTTTAAAATAAACGCTGATGATGGTTTTATTGCTCAGTAAAGAAAGCCAGAGAGTATGTATACCACAAGTGCAACAGTTTAGATGATGGAGGATATGTATGTATATAATTAATATATTTTAAAAACTAATATATATAGTATCTAATGTGTTTTTTCCCTAGCTGGAGAGGTTGTAGGCTTGGGATCTTGTAGTCAGCTGGGCTTGCGATAGAAGTGATAAATCTTTTGGAAAGCTTGAAGGTACCGAAGAGGTAGATCCTTGCTAGCCTTGGCAAGTGTAAAGGTTTCCTTCTCATCATGATCATGGCTTGTGAGATACTAGGCAGCAGAAAGCAAGCTTGCTTTTAAAATCACACAGTTGAGTACGATTTCAGTTGCTTGGGGTTTGTTGTTTTGTTTTCTGTTTTTTGTTTTTTATTTTTCTCTTAAGTATCTTGGAAGGCTGCTCAGGGATTAGCTTCAGGGATAAGTAAGCAGAGATTCTCACATCTTAAGACCGGACAGTCCATCCGGCTGTCTAGTCTGACCACCTGCAGGCCATCACATTTTCCCTAGTGCTCTGTTGGAGCCCCAGTAATTGAGTTGGCTAAAGCACATCCTTATACTTGCCTGATCCAGATACACCAGGAGATGCATAAATTGGAAGTAACTCTTTCCAGGAACTGCCTGTCCCTTATTATTTTGCACTTGTGTCTGTTTTCTCAGTTGAATGTATCTGGCTTCAGCTTCACCTCCCTGATGACTAAATTGAAGAGCCTTTGCTCATCACTGTTTTCTTCCAGTAAGAACATATTAAATGCTGTAATGAAGTCACTTGCTCAATCTGTCTTTAATTAGCTAAACAGATTGATCTTTTAAAGTCTTTTACTTCAGGGCTTTTTTCCCAGCTGTCAGATAATCCAGAGACTGTTATCAGCACACACACACCCCCAACCCCCAACAATTTTTCAACATCCTTTAAAAATTCTGAAGTTCAAAGAATACCAGGCTGCTTTGGTAAAGGTGGTTTTCACTAACAGTATTCCACTGTGCAGTTAGAGGCACTTACAAGTTGACTTTTACCTTCCTTCTTAGATCGTAATGATAATGTGTCACACCTGGTGTAGGTGAGGAGGGTCTGTGTCTGCATTCGATCAGTAAATGGCACTAAATACATGTTTCTAGAAAATCCAGGACTTAAACAGTATGCTTTGGAATTGGGAAGTAGCCACCCAGTCAAAAATACATTAAAGAGAACATTCTTGGCACATTCTCGTATTACCAATCACTTACATAAACACACTGTGTCATAGACTTAATAGGTAGATTGTAGAAGTATGATAGTAGAAGAAAAATAGGTTTATTTACGATAATTTACGATTTATTCTTGGTGATTCTCAGAGAATAAACGTGTGGTTTATTTTCAATCATGCCTCATGTTTCCACTGGGCATCCCACTGGTACTGACTGGTAGGGGAGGCTCTGCCTCGAGGGGTGGCGAGGAGGGAGGCAGCAGAGGTGCTGGTTTGCAGGCGTAATGGGTGGGTGATGGAGGCAAACCCCGTGGGCTAATGGGGAAGCAGCCCTCCAGAGAGGGAAGATAAGAGGGTGGAGGCAGGAAAACAAGTAGTTCAAATTTGATAGATGAAAAAGGGAAGACAGTGGATGAATTCTTATCACAATAGTGCTAATTAATTGTGGTTTTGTGAGTGAGATGACCTAAAAATTAAGTACAAAAGGAGAAGGAGGAAGAAGGTGTGGAAAAAGCAAGGAGGGGGGTGTGACATGATGAGCAGAGATACAAGAGGGAAACTAGGAGAGGACAGGGTAGCAGAAACCTGGGTGGGGAGGGAATTTCAATAGAGAATGACTAGGAGAAGTGCCTTTGTCTGGAAAGCTGCTCCTGGGAGAATGAATACGTTTTAGGAAAACAAAATGTTCATTCACACCCTTGTTATTTTATGTCTTTGTGACTACAGTCTCTCTCTTCCTTCTGTTTCCTAGTCTTGGCCAGTCCAGCCTTCACACCGCTCCTGCAATTCAGATTATTCCCCCAGTCAGGTCACATTGACCATTTTGCCCATCTCCTGCTATGGCTTCTTGAACGGATCTGTCTTGTGCTGCTTCCGTTCTGATGCAGTATTTCATCATGTAACTGTGATCTTTTACCTAAAATTCTTAGCTTAGTTCATGAAATAAACTCTGTTTATTTCATTTTATTCCAGAGTTACCATTTTTTGAAATCAGTTTGATTTCTCCTCTATTGACAATAGAAATGTTCCGCCAGGAGGAGTTGAAGCCAGATACTTATAGATGAGTCTTAGAAAAATGGCTTTTCCTAGCGCTTGTAATGCCCTTTGCTTCAACAAAATGGACCAGAAAACCTCATTGCTTTCTTATGTGAACTCTAAATTATCACAAGGAGGTTTCTAGTGTTATCCAGGTAGGGACAGAGGGCTTTTCTTCAGTACCCATTCACTTGGGAAGTTTGAAAATTCCTGATCCATTAGCAAGAATACTGGTAGCTGCACTTTCACATGTTAAGGAGTTTTTAACTGTGCACATAACTACAGTATGTTCCATAGCTGCAAACCATTCTTTTCATAGGTACTTCAGGTCTTTGCCAGCGCAGCTAAACTGATGTCAAAATAAAACATAAATGCTTCTCCACACAGGCACACACACATATATATACACACATAGCATATACATATCTACGTGTATATTTATATATCAATATATGTGTGTTCTCCAGAGCTCTTCCCAGTGGCATCAATGATCTGACCACTTTCTTTTTATTCAGAGTCTTTGAGATTTATATTTGAATTGTTAGTGTAAGTTTGTGGGACCTAATAGTTTGGTTGTTTTTCTCCAGTGAAATCTAGAGAAGATATTTCCTCTCTTCCACATCAGACTTAGTATCAGGGTATCATTTCTATTCATTTCGGGACTGGAGATTTTTGCCTAAGCTTTATTCCCTCCCTTCTCACCCCCTTTTTTTTTTTTTTTTCCGTTTGATTTAAATCTGCTCATTCTGCTATAAAACTCTGCAAACAAAGGACAGAGCATTGTTTGACACATAAGCCTGTTTCCAGTCTGCTTGATTGATCAGTCTGGCATCTTCTCTTGGCATTAAATACAACCACAGACTTCATATTCTCCTAAAAGGCAGTATGTATCAGTGGAATTTGTATTGTTACACGTTTCAACAACTATCATGTAGTTTGATGAACGATATTTTTATTATTGTAGGCTTAAAAATTGAACAATAATGAGTTTATAATTATTATACTGCAAAATAAAAATTATTGTAGCATACAGCTGTATTTACAGTTTCCTTCTCATTCCTTCTTTACTCTGAAAATATGTGTTAAATACATTTCATAGCTCAGGTTCCCCATGAGACCAGATTCAGGGGAAGGTGGTAATTCAAGTAGATAGAGCAGGCATGCCAAATAGCAGCTGAAAATAGGATATTCAATTTACATCCACCACGTTTGAGAAACAGACTGGTTTGGGTAGGCATCCACATAAGGTGTCAACCCTTTGCAAAGTATTTTTGCAAGGGATAGGTGAAAATGTTGCAAGGCAGTTCCTGATATTCTTCATTTTGTTCAGTGTATTGTGAATTGTTGTTTCAGTTTGCTCAGGATGAAGACAGTTGTATTGGTGACTTTGCAGTGGTCGAGTATGAAACTGCAGAGCAGGCAGAGAAGGTACAAGAAGTCACGGATGGCATGACTATCAAAGGGAAGAGAGTCCAGGTGTCGTACTGTGCTCCGGGGGCGCCAGGCAGAAGCACCTTAGCAGCACTTATAGCAGCACAGAGGATGGTGAGATACTTGCAAATCTGTTTCCAGAACGAGTTACACCTTGATACACCTTGAGCAGCCTCAGTTGGGTTAGAGGGATTCAGCTGCTTTGCATTAGGAAAAGGAGCTGAGCTTTTGGTAGAATTAGCCTTTTTTTTTTTTTTTTTTTTTTTTTTTAATCTAGTTAGCCCAATTCAGCCTCCTTCCTAGGCAAAGCACGGCCATGTACTGCAATGAAAAAGGGTAAAATATGGCCTTAAGATGCCACAGTTAGATTTACGTAGCTCTGGGATTTGAGTAAATTTAATTTTCTGTAAGAGAAATTGTTCCAGTTCAAAACAAGAGTAACTGGCAGTGGAGTCATTTGACAAGCTAAAACTTTGTTTAAAATGGAGAGGCAAGAATTTGTCCATTTTAAGATAAATTTCAAGGTAGGAGAAATCATTTAATTTCATGGTTGATATAGAAGAAAGCTTTTTACATCCACGTGTCTTATCAGATTACTTCCTAGAAAATTGGATGTGATAAGTGTTACATGAAGCTGTCTTAAACAGAGAAGCAGAACAGTCTCATTACTTTGGCTGGCTTTAGCCCACATCTTTGTAAGAGAGATGAGTGGTGCTATTACAAGATAGTGTGTGGTGTTCATGTTAACAGTGCCTTTCACATTCTCCTTTTTTGATAACTGTCTCAGTTTAAGGGAAAAAAATAAATGTATCTCAGGAAAAATAATGTGCTTGAAGTTTTGGGGCAATAGTTTGTTACGCATTTCATTTGAGGGAAAATGAGCATGAAAAGGAGCAGGAAATAGGGAAGATGATTTTTTTTTTTTTTTTTTTCCTGTGTGAAAATAAATGTGTCCATTACCATCACACAAGTTTGAGGGATTTAAATGTATTCTTTGTTTTGTCCCAATTCTAACATTTTTCTGTCTCTCTTAATTGGAGATGAGGAACAATAGGAAAGGCTTACTTCCAGAGCCAAATCCAGTGCAGATTATGAAAAGTTTTAATAATCCAGCAATGTTACAAATGCTACTGCAGCCCCAGTTGCGTGGACATGCTGTTAAACCTGGTAAGTTTTTTTAAAAAAACAAAAAAAAAAACACAAAAAACCAAAACCCTGTTCTTAGTGATACAAGGCTTTTAACAAAGGAGAGAAGCAGGAATAGTATTTTAAAATCTGCAGATGTTCTTTCAGTGTATTTGTGTAGACAACTCTCCATTTATGAAAGCAAAAGCAAGAGGTGGATTTCTACACTATTGTGTTTGGATCAAATTTAGTGTAACCTAAAAATGTCCTCACATTAACTCTGTGATGTCTGAATGTTTGTGTTAGAAATGGGCGTAAGATGAAATGTCTTTTGCAGACATCACAGAAATGGTGAGTTTAAATCTGATTCTAGATCTGAATTTTGCAGCCTGAGTCTTTCTCCTATTGATTTCAATGTAAATTGTTATTTACTCAGATGCTACCGTAGTTGTACACACATTTCATAACAGCATTAGCCAAAAACATTTCTCTGCCTTCTCACTAGGATGGATGTGAATAAACATATAAAAACCAATCTCACTACATTTCAAATGGTGAAGGTATTAGGAAAGGTATGAGAACAGATAACTTGAAGAGTCAGCTGGGGGACAGCTAAGAGTTTGTGACATAATCTTTTGACAGAAGACACACAGAAACTGTGTGTGAAGAGAACACTTCAGTGAAGAAACACTTTAGCTAATGCTGAAGTTTCAAAGCACTTTAGATAATGCTGTGGTCTTGCAGTCAACTTCAGACGTTTCTGCATATTTGAGAAAAACTCTCAGCTTTGGAGGAGCTCCACGAAAGTACATCTCTAAGATGCTGTTAATTGCAGATCAGAGCTGGGTGTATTGAAAAGTTTCATTATAGCTGACCTTTACTATACTGGAAAGTTTTGTGAAAATCAAATCAAAAAAATATAGAGTAACTCTTACAAAGTTCTTTATTTGGCTAATTTGTAAAACACTGCAACTCTCTTGTGTTTCTGAAACAGTTCTTGGAGCATCTGCAGGTTTACCTCACCTTATAAATTCAGCAGTTGGCCCACCTTTTTTGCAGTTGAATAAAATTCATCAGGTATGTGACCAAAAAAACTTTTGTCAGAATACATATTTGTGGAGAACTTAGCATGAAAAAGATTCTCAAAGTTTTTAAGAAATTACAACTAAAATCAAGTGTTCTCATTAAATTTATCTTTGAGAAAAGGACTGTGAGATGCCTATGAGGATGTAAGAGCACACTGTGCTTACTATCCACAAGTGAGTTATTGTATCTTAAGAGAGCTTTTGATTTGCTAACACCTGCCGATGTAGAGACAGCTTGCCATTACTGGAAAAAAAAAAAAAAATCCTCCTTTAAATTAGCGCTCAAGGAGTGTGGCACATCCATTTATCTCTTCTCATACACACTTTCTGTAGAGACTTGATTGTTTTCTCTTATTCAAGCCAACAAGCTTAGCATCATTATCTTCATTTTGAGGTTTGTGGGGACCAGAATGTGCTATATATGCTATAAAAAACAGTGATTTGCAGATGTTACTTCTTAGTCAAAAAAACCCCCCAAGGTTATAAGCTGTTTAAGTGTTCTGGGAGTATCTGTAGTTCACTGTAAAGTTGATACGACTTCCATATGGGCACCAGAATTTCTGAAAGATACTATATTGGATATCTGGGATGAGTTTGCCCTAGGAATTGGTGATGGGAACATGCTAGCGTAGCACCCACAACCAGAACTCCTCCTAGAGCAGTTCACATGGCCAGCAGCCTGCCTGGCCTCCGCCTTGCACCGAGGTTCTGTCAGAGATTTCCTCCAGCTCTGCCAGGAGCCAAAATTTGCCTTCAGTATTCATGGCAGGGGTTTTCATAAGAACCTTAGAGGGACTGGAGACAATCACTTTGACTTACCATTTCTGATGTTTCAGAAATTCTCATTTAAAAAGCAGAATCCCCTTAAGTATTAGTTCTTACTTCTGCTGTTCTTTTGGCAAAGATAGACTGATAGATCCTTAACAAAAATTAAAACGCAGAGATATTCCTTATGTTGAGTATATTCAGCTTTTTGGGTTTTTTCTGCTAAAAACTGGTAGGTGAATATATCCATTTTGAATAAACACTACTTAATTTTGCCCCATAAAGTGAGTTGCTTTTGTCCTGTACAATTAAAAAAAAAAAATCATTCTTTGCTTGTACTTCTTTTATTTAAATGACATTTTCAATTGGTATATTTAGTTACTGCTGCTCTCTTCAGCTTTGGAGCGCCTGTGCTTCCTTGGAAGGCAATGTGAATGTTTTCTAGTCACAGCTGGAGACAGGCATGTTTTACACAGTTAACACTGTGACTGATGATGATCCAGTGCTTTTTGGCTTAAGAGCGCTGCAGCCCAACAACTTAATGTTTTCTCTTTAGAGAGACTTAAAAGTTTAATTCTCTTCCAGAAAGCTTCCTGTCATTTAATTAGCTCCAAACCTGATCTAATAGCTTGAATTTTATTGACAAGTATTTGATTAACCAAATTCCTTCTATTAGGCACATTTTTCTGTTATGCAATGACTTATTTCAGTTTTCTCTAAAGCCAGAGAACCAGGTCACCGTTTTTATTGTCTTGAAATTCAGTATTGTGACGAGATAGAGGAACACACAGTGTCTTGGCTTGCCTCTCTCCCCACCTCCCCACTCACGCACCGATTCAGCTGCCTGTATATCTTTGTTTTGCTATTGTATATTCAAAGTTTTTTAAAGTAATATAATCAGAAGAAACAATATTTTTAGGATGATTATGCCACAACATTATAAAACAGCTCATAAAGATTCAATAGAGGGGTATTTGAACAAATGGGTTATTCATCCAGTAATCTTTCAACCCTGGAGTTAGCATGACTTTCAACTCCTTTCTTTTAATTTCTCTTAGCTGCAGTTATCATGTGCCACAGTCATGCATTTTAAACTTTCCCAGTGATGTGTTTTCCTCAGCCATCCAGCAGTTCTTTGAATCTTTATTAAGGCAGAGACTTCCTTCTGAGGATTCTAACCAAACTGATTTTCCCCTTTTGCATTTCTGAACGTTTTTCAGTTGAACTTATATACGTGTTCTTTGTGGATGTAACCAAGTTTAGAAGGGACAACCGCTGGTATTTGGGACCTGGATAATTTCTACTGAAATCACTAAGACAATTAAAATAGCAGATGCTTAACAAATCTAGATACGGCACTTTTTGATTTAAATTGCACATTTCTGAGTCCAGAAGACCATATTACAGGCATAGGGTGTTTTTTTCCCTAGGAAATTTGGCCCTGCCACACAGAGACACAGCCTAGGATTGAAAATATTTGTGAGGTGTTTTGTAGGATGCTGCAAAATCTACAAAGCCATGCATCAGGAGAGTTGCTGCCTTCTTGGGTTCCACCTTCATTGCCTGGTTTTGGTGATCTTTCCTATGAAGGAGATTTCAGAAAAATGAGGAAGGCTGTATTTGTTGTGATCTGACACAGTCAGTGTCCCATATATCTATTCCTTCACCTCTGTACAGAAAGGTTTGCAGAGCAACCTGTGTTTTGCCTGGCAATTCATGACCAGGAGCTGCTGCCAGAAAGAGAGTTTCAAGCGTGTGTTCAACCAGCATGAATCATAGTGTGGTTTTGTTAGCCAGAGTGGACGTAAGGTTTCTTTTACACCACTGTGCTAGCCAGAGCACACAGCACTCGATATACCCATAGCAGAATCTGAACGTGGTGCCCCAGAGTTGTTAAGTGGCTCAATTCTGGTGGCAAACTGATCCAGAAGTTTTTGAATGAAAACAACGGATATTTTATAGGCTTGACAATCTGTAGGCAGTGTGATTTGTAATCTTTTTAATGGTTTTGGCATAGAATTTCATGTAGATAGTTGCCACTAAAAAGAAGGGAAAAACAGATGCTCCTCTTTGAAAGTAAGGATACTGTTTGGTAACTGTAAAACAAGGGATGAGAGTCCCTGCTGGTTACAGCCGAGTCCAGTAAAGGGTATAGATACTTGATGGAGATGATGTATTAGAATTACAATGCAAGGCACAGTGCAAACATTACCAAACAATGAAGTCCTTATTCCTAGAGTTCATCACTGTGTCTCATCTTTCTTACTGGCACTGTAGGTAACTCCCCTCTCTAGTCTGTCTGCAGAGGCTTCAAACACATTTTGCTTTCCCCGTTGGCCCAGACCGAGGCTGCAGTGGAGTCTGGACTGTATTTGGAGCATACTCTGGATCCTTTAAAAGCCATCAGAAAAGCATACTTGTGGTTGTGAGGTGAAAAAGAGGGCTAGGCAGGAGAGAGGTTAAAAGAGCTTGAAATAACTTCTTATGAATGAAGCAAAAATTTAGTTCTGGTGAGGAAATGGTTATTTTCCTTTGCTGTATGAACTCTTAAACTAATTTAAAATGTTTCAAGAACGTATTGTTTTCCATGACTGTCAACTAACATTTCTTTTAATAATTTCACAGAGTTCAATTCTGGGGAGTACATCTAACTTAGTGCTGCAGAGCCCTGCTCACCTACCATTGCCACAGCAGCAACTGATGAAGATGGAAAACATTCAGGCTAATAGTGTAAGGTCATCACTTTAACCTTGACTGTCTTTGGACACTTTTATAACTGATAAAACAAATAATTATTTTAATCTAGTATAATGTAACAGCTTAGTGTATCTTAGTGTTAAGTCATGTAACAGCTTTAGTGTATCTAAAAAGATTAACCGAATGTGAACGTTGTAAGAAATAGCTACAGACAGATTATTTTAATCATTTACACAGTTTTCTATTCTTCCTTATAGAAACCGGGTTTGCTGGGAGAACCTCCAACAATGCTACTTCAGACAGTACTGGGAATAGGGGTAATGCCATCAGTGAGTTCAGGCATGGGAACCCGTGGAGAAGCTCTTAAGTGTAAATGACATTTTATTTCATACCAAATCATCTTGAAATGATGCACCTGACTTTCTCCCACTTTGGCAAAAGCACTAGTATGTTTAAACCTTATCACTGCACAGAAAGTTAGGCAGAGAGCTGAACAATTATGCACGGTATATAGGTAAGCAAGTTAACAAGTTATATAGCTGTATAACCAACTAACCTGCTGGTTCAAGCAGGAAACACACTTGCAATATCTTGCCTTGTTGCCTGGCTTCTCTAATCTGTTTGTCAGGGAAGAAAGAGTACACTGTGGCATTGGTTGCATATTTGCAGGTTGTTAAATCCTCTGCTTGCTCAGTTACTACCATTTGTAGTACACTTGCAATATGTTTTTATTTAGGACCAAAATTTGAGGGTTTGTTGGTTCAAAGAGAAAAAAATCTGAGCAGCTGAAGAAGCACTGCAAATAAGTTTTATTTTTTTACATTCATTTCATTAACCAGTAGAGCTTTAACATCCAGTCTGTGACAGATGTCAATTTTGAAGTGCAGATTTCTGCGCCAGTGATGCCCTCAATTTTTATGAGGAAAGATCACTTGTGATACTGCTTAGTGCATCTTTTTTGTTTCCTCCACTGAGCGCCATGTATTCGGCAGATCTAGGTATGGTCTGAGCAGTGGTAGTAACCAGCAGCAAGGAAAAGCTTGCGGTAAGGAAGAAATCTATTCTGAAAGTCTAGATTTTAATTTTGGAGAATAACTCCTAGCTCTTTTGTTGGTAAAAAGAATTTTACTAATGCCAGTTGAGGTGGGGTTTTTCCCCTCTGTTCCAATACAGGACGTCGTTTCCCAGGTTTTTTTGAAAGTGGCAGGAAACGCTAAGAAGTAAGTTATTATAGTGAATATTTAGAAAAATCAGAGTTTTCTTCTATTGTATTAGCTTTAAATAGAGTTGTTTGCTCCTGGGATGGTAAAAGAATAAAAACTATCATCAGAATTCAGTGTTCCGGGACAGCTGTAAAATAGATCTCTAAATGTTTTTCTCATCACTTAGTCAAAACCACAAACAAAATGTACTGATAAATCTTGTCTAACAGAAAAGTTTCTCCATTTATGGTTGACTGCAGCATCTAATCTGACTCCCAATTCAAACAGCAGCAGCAGCAGCAGGGATGGGCATGCTGCCATTCTTTCCGAATCAGCACATTGTTGGACAAGCTATACCAGGGCAAAATAACGCTCCAGATAAACAATCGACTACCGAAGCGGTTGTCTCGGGATCACAGCCTTATCATCAGACCTTAACAAATCTTTCTGCGGGAGCTTTGCGGGCTGGACATGCCAAACAACAAAATCAGCTAAAAAGTACTGATACAAGTTTGGGGGTAAGGAGCGCTGAATACAAAGATTTCATTTTTTTTTTTCTTCTGTGTGGATTTTCTCTTCTTCGTTTTAACATGCTTAAGAGTTAACTGCCACTGCTTATTGCAGTTCTTCACTATAAAATTTGCTAGATCACAGGATCATTCGTGAGACATTTTAAGGTCATTCCACTTAGGAATAATAGGGAGAACAATAATGCTCTTTGGTGGTCCAAATGAATTAACAAGGGAATCTTTTTACAATGCTGGAGGGGTTTTTTCCCATGTGTATGCCTCATAGTATTTGATGGTGAAATTATCTCAAGGGCAATGTCCCTTTTAAAGACTGAAAATTGAACTTGTGATAGAATTTCATGACTGATTGGGAGAAATCCTGGTGGTATGTTGGGCCTTTGGGCTTCCAGGTGTGTGTGTGTGTGTGTGTGTGTGTGTGTGTAAATTTTCCACTTTTAGTCCTCTTAGCCATAGCTGACCTGTTCGTAGTCTGTATCAGTTTTAATATTTATTCCCTTGAAGGCAGGGAGTGGGAGGATGATGGGATGGGATTTGAGTTGAACCAGAATGGTCTCTTTTTATCAGAAGTTTTTTTCCTGCCATTAACAGAATTTACTACTTTTTTTTTTTTTTTAATAATATACATACCTAAATATTTTGAGATTTGTGTGGAAACATGTTCTTAATTCAGATCAGATCTGTGTTTTCTTTACATATTTTCTGAAGCATCTGAAGTGATTAGACCATATTCAGTATTGGTGTCTGCCTTTCTTAGACAGCTTTGACAGATTTGGTCCTACTTTGGAAAGTACACTCTTCATTTTTTAAATATTTTTTTTACTGTAATGAAGTGGAATTTTACCTGTGTGTAGATAGATACACATGAATAAAATACATAAGGTGTATGTGTATACATATATAAAACCAGTGGTTTATTTCAGCATTTCAGTTGGTTAAAAGGAAATGTCATTAAACCATTAGAAGTCTAGATAATTAATTTATTTCTATGAATATGTTTATCAGGAAAATTTATTTTTTGAAATCCTGGTAGATGTTTTAATTGTTTCCTTTTCTGCATCAGTAGGCAGAAGGCCCAGTTTGCAAAAATCACTTCCTTGACAAGACAGCAGCAGTCTGTGTGCTGACCAGTCGGACTGTCTTAAATGCCCGCTTTTGCATCCAGATGAATTTCAGCACTCTGTTGAAGCTTTTTGTGTTTAAAAACTGGTCTCACTGGTTTTGAAACAATGTTGAGGAATACTTTTTTTTCAGTAAAACAGTATTAATCCATTAAAATAATGGATTTTTTTTTTCCTTAATGTGCTTTCAGAAAATGTACAGAGTAGATGTAGATTAGGATGTAGATGCAGAGTCTTCCAGCTCTGTATTTCAGACAAGCTGTGTAACTTGCTATAGCTATTTCATCCTTATTTCTGGCACTTGTTGTGACGTAAGCTAAAGGGAAATAAGCTGGTACGTACCCTTCCTAGTGCCTCGTGGTGCCACTTCTGGTGGTTTGGGGTTGCTTCATTTACACTCATAAACATTTTCCCCTTTGAAGTACAGACTTAGAAATAGCGTGATCGGTACTATGTGTTGTAGTGACAGATTGCAGACAGGGCTGTACCTCCAGTCCAGGGTTCGTTTGGCCTTCACTTGCTTGTGACTCTGGGTGAGAAGAGTTGATTTGATCGTAAATCCCTGCAGCTGGGGTCATTATGGTGGGTATTATTCCTTTGCTTGAATCTAAAAGGTTTTCTTTTGTTTGTTTGGTTTTAATACCCTTTAGTAACCTACAGTCTAAAGAGAAACATTCCTACCGAATTATTTGGCAAGAAAAAAGTACAGGCAATGTGTCCAGATAGTCATCCCAGCATTTATTTTAGAAGCTTTCCTGTAGGGTTCAGCTTTTCTCAAAACCCTGCTGATTTCTGACAAACGTTGTGTGAATATGATGCACATTGACCTGTCCAATTGTTTTGCAGACTCCCTTGAAAAAGCAGACTTCACTGCTAGGAGACCCACCAAAAGAAATACGTCTTAGTACCAACCCCTACTTGAATTTGGCAAGTGTGTTGCCTGGCATATGTCTTCCAGGTAAGCAAACACTGAGCTGTTTCAGCTGCAAGTTCCCTTGACTGAGTGTGGCAAACTGTTAGGCTGCTTGGCAGGTAATTCCAGTGACCACAACGTTTACCTTTAAGGAATTCTTGTAGTCTGTCTTAAATTTGCAATGTAATTCTATCCTCCTAGTTAATATTATATTTGGGAAAGGTAAATTTTCAGAGTTAATGGGCTTACAGATGTGGACAAACTTCTAGAAAAACCTTTCAAATAGTATAATTTTGAGCACAGCCTAATGTGAAGTAGCAAATTTCTGTTCCAGTCCTAGAATATTGCTAAACAAGAGTGCAGCCTAATTTTTGCAGTTTATACAAACCACATATTCTTTGTGTTACAAACAGCAATTGCCAGCAAAGCCTCTAGTCCACCGCAGCAGACCGGACTTTCGAACAACATCGTGGATGCTGCTGTGTCTCAGGGAACTACGTCACAACATGCAATGGAAAATTATTTTAATTACTCTCAACAGCATGGGGAATACACGCAGGTACGTCGCTTTGCAGCGCTTTCTTCTGAAGCCTGGTTTGTCACTCAGAGCTCTGGTAGCAGGGTTTTTGGCAGAGATCTGCTCAGCGATCCCTCCCTGAGCTGCTCATTGTTTTTCTCTGTGTATCTTCATGCACTTCTTGGCACACATGTGGTCTGGTAGCCCTTCATGCAGTTGAACAGCATTGTCCAACATCATGAAGCACTCTTCAGCAGTTCCTAGGCTTTCCTACAACCAAAGCCCACCCTCCTCTTCAGGTTGAGCCATGTAGGTCCTCTTCACTGATAGTTTATCTCTTTCAGTGTACAGAATAGATTTAGCACAAAGTACACCTCAGTAAGAAATAAAAAAATAAAAGCCTGAAGACATTCCCTGCTGCAGTGTTGTAACCATAGAAGGATTGCTGCTGGAGCACCTGAATTCAGTGCAGTTGGCTAAAAAATTACAACTTCTGGCTTGGCTTTTGTCTGTCTTCAAAACCATGAAGTTTTTCCTCTTTCCCTTCCCAAGAAGTTTTCAGGTTTTCTTGAGCCTTGGCTAGATCCCAGAAAGAGTGTGTTCTGTCTACCAGAAGTTCCTGTATAGCTTGGGGAGTTTTTAGACTCTCTGCCAGCTGGTTTCACTGCACAGGGTTTCTTCACCGCGTGCCCCGTTCGGTGATCAGAGCATGGCCACTGAGGTGGAGGGCTGCCCCTCCTCTGGAGTGTTGCACTACTGGGAGCAAGTGCTGGGTTTCAGAAACATGGAGACACTCTGTGAAATAACATTTCCCTATTTTCATTAGCCATCACTAGTCTGTGCAGAAATATATATAAATGAAATACGAGAACTGGATCGTAGTGGTGTCGGGTAATCTGTATAAAAATCTTGGGTCTGCGTGGGGACACCCACCCTGCCTTCTGCTGTAGGTCTCCTCCTGCCCTGATCTCTCCTCCTGTGGCCGGGAGACAGAAGCAAGGGGTGCTCCCCTCTCCTGGGCTGCGGGCAAGGAAATCTGTGTTGCTCCTGAACTCCTGGGGTAGAGCAGGGCTGCTGCTGGGACTGGAGGACAGAGAGTGGGCACACGGCGGGCACAGGGCCTGGTTTGTGTTGGGAGGGTCTCAGCCCAGCCAGGAGGGGCAGAGGGGATGGTGGTTGCTGCAGCAGGCAGCTCTGCCAGGGGCCAGACCCATCTCTTAGGTCAGATCTGGTGACAGTTGTGGGTTAGAGAAGGAAGAGGGATGTCCTGGGGGCCGTTGTGTTTCGTGTAAGCATAGTCTTGAATGTTTTGTTCGCATCTAATTATTTGCTTTCAATTTGATGTCTCCTGGTGGTAGTTCCTAACCCCAAATCCTTAAAATACTGTCCAAAAAATTCAGTAGTATTGTAATACTAGTGTTACCAGTATTATCCGTAGTAACATGAAGGACTCAAATGATGTCACTGAGGTGCAGAGATGCCACATGTCATTGTTCAGCTGTATTTGTACTGTCTATCCCTTCCATGTAGCAGAAATGATATTGTACTTGTGTCCACTGCCAAGGCAGTGGTGCCTTGTGTGTCTTTAAAGCACTTGACATAATATTAAATGTTTGGTTTGAGCTTTATCACTGGTGTCAAACAAGTTTTGATGCTTCTTGGAGAGCTTTGCCTTTTATTCATTCTCATGTCCTGCGAGGCCGTAAGAATTGTTTTCATGTGAAGTGATCTTAGTAGACAGCTAATGGGAAGAGGTTTTTTCCTCCTTTATAGGAGGCTGTTCAGCAGTGGTATCAGCATTATGCTCAGGCATATAACTCTACCCAGGCAAGAGTCGATGAATTTGAAAATGAAGCTTCTGAGGTGAGAAATAATTTTTATTTTCTTCCTGTCTCCACTGGCTGTTTCTCCCATCAGCTGTGAGGGTGCTTTCGGACTCTGGACACCTGCTTTGTTTGTTGATAGTGGCTGCTGCCGTCGCTACCGCAGAGACACGGGGCTGGAGAGCGTGGGACGAAGGGCACTGCATGGTCACCCTCCACAGGGCATCCCTGCACTCTCCAGGATTCATGTTCACGCTTTTGATTATATCTGGCATAAATATTTTAAACTCCCACAATCTGAAGTGACCTGTCAAGTTCAGGAGTGTATTAAAATACTCCTCCCAAGAAACAGCACACCATAACGTTACTTCCCAGTGAGTCTGTTGAAGGATTGTTTTTCACCCAGGCCATTATATAGCCCAAGGTTGGGTTATAGACCACCAACAAGCACACTTTGGGGTTTTCTGAAGGAATTGTGTGAAGTAAATCCTACATTTTGCTCAAGAAATTGCTGCATGCCTGAGCTGCTGTGAATCGGACGCTCCTTTTAGCAACTGCGACTCAGATATTTACATATCTGCTGAATGCTCGTTACTATGTCGAGTAAAAAATGAATTCTTGAACCAGTTTTCTTTCAACATGTGGTTGATCATGGATCCCGTTCTGCATTTAGGAATCTACGGGTGGATCTTACCCAGACTGCAGAACCTGCTTGCAGGTCCTGCCTACACTTTACAGTGGAGCCCAGGGATCATGCCAGCCAGGCAGCTTGCAGCTTCCTCCACAAAACCCCTTAAATAAGGTGAGAGGAGAGACGCAGCAGAGGGGTTGTAGATGCAGCTGGAGCCAGCGGCTGGTAGAAGCGCTTCTTATTTGTCTTATGCTGCCACCGAGTGGACTTTGGACCCGCAGCAAGCCAAGGCAGAGCTTTTCCACTGCTCCTCAGGATCATACCCCGTTCCTGGTGGGTGTGATAAATAAAAGCAGTGGTTGAGCAGAGCGTGGCAGACCCCCTCGGAGCCCTCCAGCACCCTGGAGATCAGAGCTCCTCGTTGCCCACACACCACCAGAACCTACAGGAAAGAAAGGCTGGATGTTTGTGCACAGACTTCTTGGAAAGATGGTATCTGTGAGGCTGAATGTGCAAAAATGCCTTGAAGGGGGCAAATAAAGTAGGAAGTGAAGAAAGGAGGAGGAGGTAGTTCGTGCTGGTTTTAGGGCTTTTTGCCTGACTGGCAGATGTTCTGCAGTGAGTGCCACTGGGATAAAACCTCAGAAGTGGAGTTACCAAGTCCAGGCAGCGTCCGGCTTACCTACAGCCTCCACTTTGTAATCCTCTGCACTGGATCCTAGGAGGAAAATAATTTTAAAATGGCTTTCATTTGGTATTATACCAGACGACAGATGAGACCTACTTCAGCCAGACTCATTGAGCAAAGCTTCCTTTGTCTGTTGCACTCAGTAGACACTTAGTTTTCATCAACAAAAGATGTGGGAGGGATGGGGAAATGCTATGGGAGCCGTGAGGACCAGCTTAAAGGAGTCTGGAATCTGGACTAACGAGGAGGTGGTTTAACACAGGCCAGGCCGGTGGGGATAAAAGCTTTGCTGAGTCTGGACAAAGGACCAATCATTTCCTGAGTGCCTTCGAAATCCTGAGGAATTCCTCCCCTCATGCTGTAGGTAGATCACGTTGCTCCTGTTTTTATGAATGGGAGAGACCTTAAAAACCAGATTGTCATCTCTGTTGGAGCTGCTGCCTTTGTGAGGCCAGCCCCAGCCCTGCGGCCTGAGAGTGATGCTGATCTCTCTCCTCAGCCTCCAGCACGGCTCGTGGCCCTTTGCAGGAGGAGAGGAGCCGCAGCTGAAGCCTGTGGTCGCATCTGGGGGAGCTGAGGGGCCCCGCGCCGCTCTGCCCTCGCCGCCTCCCGTCCCTTTGCTGCACGGCACGCTCTGGCAGCTCAGACTGGGCATGAGATCCCTGTTTATTTGGAGGAGATTTAGAAGGAAAACAACTGTAGCAATTTGTGACACCTGGGTAGAGGACAAGGCCTGGCTGGAGCTGGGATAAAGATGGTCGGGGCCTGAACACGGTGCCATGGGCTGTGAAATCTGTAGCTCTGTGCTGCAAAAGATAGTGCTTTCAGGTTTCTAACAGCTCTGATGTGACTGGAAACGGCTGAAATTGTGACAAGAGGAGGAGATAGTATGGGGTTTGGGCTAAAACCTGTCAGTTTATTTCCAGTCTAAAGAGGAAAGCTTGTCTGCGGAGGTGATGTTGAGCAGCTTGCGCCAAAGTTTGTCTTAATGCCAGATGCCGTAAAAGGCAGGAAGAGAGCGGCCGGTCCCTTGGCACAGATGGAGCAGAAGGACAGTTTCCCTCTGCAGCGAGGGGCTTTTCTCATTCCTGGAATCAAAAGAGAAATCTCAGTGAAGAGAGGACACTGACTGGTCCCCAGGAGGCTCTGTGTCCGTTGAGAGTGTGTGCTCACGTGCATGTTTTAACCCCGCAACTGTTTTTTCTGCTGGTTCTGCGGGCTGAGGTTCCGAAGGAGCAGTCGGAGGTTTGTGTGAAGCACACGGTGATGCTGCGCTCTGTGACGTCCCACAGCTCTGAGTGCAGGACAGAGGGACAACTAAAAAGTCTTTCCTCAAGCCAATCCCTATTTATGCTGATGACAAGCGCGTGCTAAAATGAAAGCGGACTTAGTGGAGGGTAATTTGAGTTGTGAACGTGAATTAGCAAGGGGTGCTTCTGGGGACTGCTCGGGGATGTTTGGTCAGCACAGCTGTTCTTTTGATTAAGGAATTAGTGTCCTGGTTTGTGAAACGTCTTAAGGTTTCTAAAATATTCCCTCCAACATAAACCAGAACCCCAGATGATATGATTTAGGAGCCAGGCTTAACCTGGGACGTGCAGTGTGGCAGAGCAAGATGTGGCACGATCAGGTTCAGGGGATTGCTCCAGGGCAGATGCTTCAAGCTTTTAGAACAAGGCGACTGTTGAAGCCATTTGGTAATGAAATTAATGACACGTTGGGGACAGGTTGGAGTGATCGAGCGTCACCGAGCAGGGCGCTGGGCTGTGAGGTGTAGGTGCAGCTTCTTGTGCTGTAGGTGTGTGGGTAGTGCAGCATCCTGCTCTGATGGAGCCCAGAGAGGAGCTGAACCTGAGCCTCAGTACCCCAGGGAACCCTCAGTGGTGGGGCAGCCTCACGTCGCCTGTGTCCTCACCAGAAACCCTACCCTGGTCCCCTCAGGGCTTCCAGTTATTGGAGCGAGGCATTTCAGTGGAAGTTTTGGTTAAAGAACCGTTACTGCTCTCTTTGGCTTCGGTACCACGTGTGGACTCGCGCCCGCCAGTGGCAGATGGTTACACGTGATCCACAACACAAACCCGCTTTGGCCTGGCTGCAGACCCTCAACACCCGATTTGCCAGGATGGTTTAACCCCTTCAGCTTCCCAGGAGACGAGAGGGATGAAAGGTGGCCCACTGGTGCCTTAATTAAAGGATGAAGGTGTCTGGAGCTGCTGGGACACTGCCGGGTAGGAGCACGGCCGTGGTTATGCCGTGCCTGGCCCAGGCAGCCCTCTGCCCTCACAAAAACGCACGTACGGCGCAGCACCCATGCGGTTACCGTTGGGTTTGGGGGGTTTTTAGGGAAAGGGCACAAATACTGACTCATGAGCTGTGTATAGCTGGACCGCAAAGCCAGAGGAGTCGGGCCTTTGGAGTCAGTTACTGGCTCCTGGGCCTTGGTCATTCCCAGACTGGAGCTTTATTTATTGACACCGTTTGCTCTGGATCATGTGTCACTTGTTTTCTTCTTGTCCTTAGGTGGCTCCAACGAGAAGCGAGAAGCGAGGCTCTTCATACCTCATTTCCTCCCCAGAACCTGGCCCCACGGAGTACCTTGGCCAGCAGACTCAGGGCTCCGCAGTACGTTACGCTGAATCCTCTCTCAAAAAAAAACGCGTTTATTGAGACCTAAACACTCGCTCCTGCCTTAGGGGGTGAAGGCAGGCTTTCCGTACCTCCACTATTTATTGCTGCCTTAACTTCAAATAATTCTTCTTTCTGGGTGGGTTACAAGTATCCCGAGAGGAACAACCCTCTGTTAACGAGCAAATTTGCCAAGGAGCCGGTACGTAGCGTGGCGATGTTTGGCCGTCGCGGGGCAGCCCTCTGAGAAAGGGGCTGGCGGTTCCTCTGTCACGGACAGGCACCGCGGCCGAGGCTGACAGAGCCAGGGCATGCGGTGAGTTCTGTAGTTTACCAGCCGAAAGCAATAAAAATACCTGGGGGGGGGGGGGGGGG